TCTTCTCACGCTTTTTCGAGGAAAATTGGCGATAAGCAGCTGCTTTCTTCTTCTTTTAGACCAAGGGAGGGAGACGAAGAAGTGGGTTTTACTTAGGTGGGCGAAATTTCCACATGGGCAGTGAGGAGGACGAGGCGGTGGCTGCGAGAAATCGAAGCTAGCAGATACTGACTGCAAAATCATTAATTAGCGGCGGAGATAAACTCAGAGCACCTGACTGAGATGTGGATGTAGGGAATTGCATTGGTAAACATGGATTCCCGCTCCAGAAATTCAATCCAAATTCCCAACGAAGCAATTAGCAAAAGAAAAATTCAAAATAAAAAGAAAGTGGCGAAACGAAAGTTGTTTAGCAGCAACAACGCCGTCGTGAGAGCTTGGTAATCTGAAGTGAAATGGGAACAAGCTGAAACCTCCATGAAAGCTCGGAGACTAGAAGTAGAAGATGGAGATGGAAAGCGAGAGAGTAATTGCTTTTGTATCTTCGTTTCGTCGATAAAATATTTGCGTGTTAAAGTTGAGGCAGGGAAGGCAAGAGGGAACAAAACTGAAAATTCGTTTGTGATGCTGGAAATCAGCATCGACATTCAAGGCCTCAAAATCTGGGAAGACGTGGATAATATGGTATTCCTACTCCTATTCCTTTTCCTAATTTCCTCCCTCCTTCTCTTCTCCTTTTTTTTTTTTTTTTTTTTTAAATTTATTATTTTCGTGAAAAACATAGATGCACGTGGTACGGAAGCCGACGCGGTTTATGGCAGTTTTTTTCTTTGTTGGAATTATATGGCAGTCCATTTTTTGAAACTTGATTCAACATAAAATGCCGGTCTACTTAGTGCCTCATCTTCCAACTATATCCTTTTTATTTGGGTCATACGACTATTTTCGTTTTTGGAAATTTATCTGACATGAAATAAAATAAAAAATTATTCATCCAACTAATCAAAATTAAGGGATTGCCTACAAGCCTACAATTGTGAAATGACATCTTTATGGCTGGTTTTGTATTGTTGTACTTTGAAAAAAAGCTGCTGTGAGAATAAGTGGCTGTGAAATAAATCAGCAGAGTGTTTGGTAAACTTTTTTGTAAAAGTGCTTTTGGAAAGAAAAAAAAAGCAATCTGATAGTGGGTATTTTCATTAAAGGAGCACTGTAGCTCCGTGTGCTTTGAAAAAAAACCAGTTTTCCAAAGCTGCAAATAGCAGCTTTATCTTTTTCCTTTGACTTCAGCTTATTCTCACAACAGCTTCCAAAATAAGCCATTTTTTCAGTTTACCAAACACCTAAAACCCTCACAGATTTTTTTCATGGATGCTTTTTTTTTTTAAGCACCTCACTCCCAAACCACCCCTTAGTATCAGGAATGGGTGTGCATTCAGGCCTTTAAGACCATCTCTAAATGGGATGTTAAATTTTGATAGCTTATGTGACACTTTGATATCTTTTAAAGTTTTGTTCTACAACCGATATATTAAAATAAATTATTATTTTTAATAAAAGACATTTAATTTAAAATTTAATCAGTAATCTGTTCACCTTTATTGATTGAAAAGAAGAAAATAGTAGGATAATTACATCGGCCAACTCAACATTAATTATAATTAAACTATTTAAAATTTAATAAAATGCATTTAATAAAAAAAACATTTGAAACTCCTGTCAAATTTGACAACAACCTCTTTTGCAGCCAATCCATGTCATTGCCACATAGGATTTGGCACTTCGGTTGGAGAATATTAGTGTGGTATTTTTTTACTGTTATAGTTGATGTGTACATTTTGACATCTCCTTTAAAGATGCTCTAAGGTTAGAAAGAAGACAATTATGAAATGACATCATTTAGTATCAAATTTGGTTTGGTTCGATTCAGCATCTAAACTATTGAAATCGAAATTGAACCAACCACTTTTGGTTCGGTTTGGATTTTTTGGTGAATTATTCTGTGAAGGGGTTAGTTTTTTGTTTGTTTCGTATTTTTGAGCCCACTCTTAATCAAATATTGTCGACATTGTGATCACATATTAATGACATAACAATTGCATACATACGTGTGATCAACAAAAAATTACGACCTAATGAGGATTAAACACATAAACAAAATAAGCTTAGCATACAAATCTACGAGGTCCACGTGATGAATACGTTTCATCCAACACGTTAGCCACTTAACTCAACATAGTTATAGGTCGTAAATGGCTGAGAAAATCTCCTATCCGTCCTCATACATAACAAGATATGATAGAGGGATAAGTTCATCATGATGGATAAGAAAATGATCATGAATGATTAATGACAAGATAACCAATCTCGATAACTATGATCAAGTTATAGGATACAATATTCAATGCGGGTAAAAGACCTCTTTAAACATAATCCTTAAATGCGCTATTTATCATGCATTTGAAAGACTGATTGGCTAAATGACTTGATTAGCTAGATAATATGACTTAAATCAATTAAGCACGTAACGTAGTGAGCACCTTAGTGAATCATCTTCAATTGAACACTTGCCCTTATATAAGACCTCAAACTATTGAACTTGATTGCTGGATCCATATTCATCCATTAAGCCTTTCTTAGTCATCGGAAAGTCATTGGCTCACACCAGTGTTAAGGTTTAGCCTGTCTTTTTCTCTTTCTTAGTTGCAAGAACATTTCGGTAATTGAACGTTTGTATGAAATTTGTTCCTTATACTATTAAAAATTTGATTATCTCGACATTTGAGATTTAAAAATTATTATTTTTACCGATTTTTCTTTCACTTTTATTTTATTCACCAATAGAAAGAAGAAAATTTGGCTCTCAAAATATAAAAAAGAAAAAAAAAAAAATCATGTTGCAAATGGGCTGGTGGACTTGAGCCTCAATCTCAATCTGGGCCTTCATAATTTTGAAGACTATTGAGTGTGGACTTAACATTGAGTTAGGGACATGAGTTCTGGTTGTTTCGGGCCGGTTTAACGTGGTCTATCGGATTGATTTGATTCATGGCTTCATCTCCGGATCACTTTTACCAAATTCACTAAAATCAACTAATTCAGACTCTTGAAATTTCATTAAACGGTTAAAGTTATTATAACTTGTAAAATGACTTTTATTTTTAACTGTTTGATCAAATTTCAAAAGTCCGAATTAATTAGCTTGGTGGAAGGGATCCGGAGGGAATTTCCCCCTAATTCCACCGGAGAGCTGCTAGACCCAACCCGTTGTCTTATTTCTCCACCCACGTTATATGTACACACACTATAAAAACTTAAAAAATTAAAATGTTATTTTCCCACCCACTATTATTCCTAAAATAACCCTATATATAATTAGAGATAAATTTATCTTAAAAAAAAGAATATAAACAAATAATATTACTCTCTTCTAAAAGCCAGAAAAAAACAAAAAAACCGTTTCCTTTCCAAATTCCAACTTTTGGGGGGGGATGAAGAATTATGGGTTTTCATTCGTTGCTTTTCCCCTTTTGTTTTCTTTTTCATATGCATTTCCCCTTTCCAAATTCCAAGGGCTCATCCAAGGAAAAGTTCAGAAATAAAGAAATAGGAATATATATTTGTTTTCGGAGTTCATTGCGGTTTCAAAATTAAAATAATTAACTGAAACCAAATGTTCAAAAACGAACCAAGGACGAAGCAATGGAGTTCATCACCATCAAAAGGCTTTGAAACAATGTGTGCCCAGTAAGAAGCAAATGGTGTGAGATTTGTGTTTCACCTTATGGTTATTCGAAAGGCAATTAATTATATAAAATTCAACAATACTATAGAAAGGAAAAGAGGGAAACGTTGTTCAAGGAAAACTCAATAAAAAACAAATCTACCCTAACCTAGTGAAAACGAATTCCAAGAATTCTCATAGGAAAACGTGAAACAAATTGCACCATAACCTAATGCAAATTCAAATAAAAAGTCACGCGATGCTTCAATTGTACGATGTCGACAAATCAAGATGACCCACATAAAATTATCTTTTACTTATTCGACGGAAATATAATTATCTACTTCTTCTATAGAAACGTCATATTTGAAGTTCCTTCTTTTTGCTTTCTTTGAATGAAAGGAGATGTGAATGATGAGTTAGGGTTTAAGGGAGACAAATTTTCTAAACATAGCGTGAGAGTTGTCACACCCAAACTTTTCTATTTTCTTTTCTATATAAAAAAAAGTAATGCAAAAGGGGGTAACTAAGGTCTTTATTAGTCATTTTACAAATAGACAAATTTGTAATTAAAAAATTCATAAACAAGTGGGTGAAAATATAAGATATTGGGGTGGAAATAACACCTCTCTTCCACCGCCATTTACCTTTCTTTGTTTTTTTGTTTTTTTAGTTTTTTAAGTTTTTGGTTTGAAGCTGAATTTACCTCCTCCTCCGTACTCTCACCACTTGCCACCCTCGCGTTCCCTCTCACTTCGCCCCCTGTGGGCTTAAAAGTTAAAACGACGGCAAAGATATACTGAAACGCCAACTCTCACCGTCAGCTGTGGCCGGGAGACCAAACAAACCTCCGCCGTTCTCTTATCGTTGATAATCCCTATCTTCTGACGCATCGCTTCTGCCTTCGCAATCCGGTTAGTTGCACAATTCTCATTGCTCTCTGTTTGTTTCCCGAGAAATTATTTTATTGAGAGGAAATTGGTTACGCTTACTTAATTTATACTCAAAGCTTTGTGCCTCACGAACTAGATTTTTATGTACGGCGATGAATTTACTAGTTTATGAAATAGAATCGAGCAGTTTTGATGTGCATTAGGGTTTTGGCTCTGCTTCTGAAATAGTTGAAGTACCAAATCTATTAAGTTACTTCAATAGTTGCCTAGCATTGAAGCTGATACCCGAGTAATTTCGGTACGATACGAGAAGGTCCTTTGCAGTTAGGGTGGGGTTTATTCAGACACATTATGCATATACTCGTGTTAGAGCACATTTTAGACTAACAGGAACCTAGGTTAAAAATGAAAAGAAAAACCTAAATCGAGGCAAGTCCGTTGTGCAACTTACAGGATGTCCTAGAAACAATGCTTCTGCCAGTCCTCCTTTTTCATACAACATTCCGAAATCTGGTTATTCTTTCCCTAATAACCAGCAATTTCAGTCTGGCACGGTGAGGGTCATTTCTTTGAATGAACATGAATTTATCTTGATTAACTGAGTATTGCTGCAATCGCTAGCAAATGACTGGTTGTTGTTTCGATATTTATATTCTTATATCCTTTTCCTAAAAGCAAAAGGCTGTCAATGAGTTATCGCTGTATTTTTTATCTGCTGTATACCTTTCCCTTACGATCCAGAAGGAAAGGTAACTTGAAAAGTGGTTTGATTTTTTCCAAAAAATTAATTCTTCTAAATCTTTTGTTGATTGCAGAATATCACACCTGCTACTGCACAAGAAACTGGTAATGCCTCATTGTCCTCAACTAGTTTGCATTCTGGTTCCTTGCCTGCTCCTACTTCAAGTTCCACAGTGAATATATCATCAGCTCCTAATGCGGGACCAAAAGCTTCATTGGTTCCCACTGTCCCATCTTTTAACATGACTCCCGGAATGCCTGGAACTCCCAGGACACCTGGCCTCCCTGGAATAGCTCACTCAGTGCAAATATCTTTTAATCCGACTGCACCATCTGCACGTATTGATTCTTCTTCAGTAGCCCTTAGACCAAACATGCAAGCAGTACCTGTTGCGTCATCAGCAGTTCACCCACATGTAGGTCCTCCTTACCCATCTTTATCTGCTATGGGTGCTCCCTGGCTTCCATCCCCACAGATAGGAGGCTTACCTAGGCCACCGTTTTTGCCATATCCTGCTGCCTTTCCTGGTCCCTTTCCTTTGCCTGTACATGTTATGCCTCTCTCTTCTGTTCCTTTACCTGATTCTCAGCCTCCTGGTGTCACTCCTGTGGGAAATACTGTAGCAAATTCTTTGTCTTCCGTTGGTTCTCGTCATCAGTTGGCAGGGTCTTCAGGGATGCAGAAAGAATTACCTCATCCTGGCGTTGGTACGCTTTTGCTTTCATACTTGGTAAACACTATTTGACCTTATAACAATCTATTAGGGCTCTCTCTTCTCTTTCTCTCTCTCTATTGGTTTATCCTTCCCCTTCATCGATGATAACTTAATCAATGCTACATTGCGTATGGGCCATTTATAGATGACAGGAACAATTCCCTGATGCAGGTACCGATGGTAGAGCTGTTGTCAATGAACAGTTGGATGCCTGGACTGCCCACAAGACAGAGACAGGTGTTGTATACTATTATAATGCTTTGACCGGTGAATCAACTTGTGATAAGCCTCCTGGATTTAGGGAGGAGGTACGTGGAAATTTTAATAACTTTTAGATTCATATGATATGAACACTTTGTGAAATTTCAGTTTGCAAGATGCCTAATCCTAAATATAACTACCAAATGTATCTAAGATGCAGATTGAAATATTTTTGAGGTTTGTTTTATTGCTGCTGCATTTCATTCTCAGGCCTTGAAGTTATCATGTTCATTCTATCCAGTAATATCTTATTTTAACCAGCACCTTGTTGTGTCCACATTCCAATATAAGTGGTGAGAAAATGGACCATATTCTTCTTCATATCCCTGTAGGTATGGAGCTTTGGTCCCTTATCTTCTCATGTGTAATTTATGACTTATATCTAGGTTGTTTTTTTATATGTTGACATGCTAGTATATTTAGTGTGATACGTATTTGGCCTACTGCAAATGAATATTAGATCTTGCAGTGTTTCCTATTGTATACCCTGTGGTAGTTTAGCTGTCTTCCCTGCTTTCCCATAAAATTCGTACAAAAATCACATCATTAGTTTTTATTCGACTGGAGATGGCTTTTTAAATGCTCTGAATGCTATGATTATGAGGATTTCATTGTATAACTTTTTTTCCCACCCTAATCTTTTCTTATAGAACTGTATAAGGTAAGATAGGGAGTTATTTAAAAGATAAGATCTAAAGTTCCAGTCTCCCTAGATCTGGTTTGAAGTAATTGCTTATTTTCTTTTTCTAGGCATCATGCATGACTTTATTTGACCATTGCTGTTGGGGATGTGTCTGATTAATTTCAACTGCTTTTTTGTGCAGCCTGGTAAGGTTTCTATGCAGCCAACTCCAGTTTCAACGTAAGTTCTACTTTATCCTGTTGGGGTTTCCCCTTTTTTTTTTTTTTTTTCACTTATCTCTTGTATTTTGGATGTTAAAGTTGTTTCAGAATGTTTTTGCGATATAAGAATGTTCTTTTATTCTTGTTTTGGTTCTCTTCTGTTTAGGGTGAATTTGACTGGAACTGATTGGGTATTAGTCACAACCAGTGATGGGAAAAAGTTTTACCATAACAGCAAAACCAAGGTATGGGCCCTATTACTTGTTTATTGAAATGCCTGGGGTATTCAGAAACACTGTTGTATGAATACGTGTTAGTACTAGTATTACAGACCTTATTGTATCTTGTTTTTCTCTGATCAGGTAAGTAGCTGGCAGATCCCAGATGAAGTGATTGAATTGAGAAATAAACAGGATAGTGACGTGCCAAAAGAACATACAATATCAGTGCCAAATAATAATTTAATGATTGAAAAGGGATCTGCACCAGTTAGTTTGAGTGCTCCAGCCATTAACACGGGTGGTCGTGAAGCCATGCCTTTTAAACCCTCAGTTGTGCAGGGAACATCTTCTGCACTTGATCTGATTAAAAGGAAGTTGCAGGATCCTGTTACGTCTTCGCCAATTTCAGCACCATCAGAATCAAATGGTGCAAGAGGAGTTGAGAGTACACCTAAGGGCCAGCAAAGTGAGAATATCGAAGATAAGCTAAAAGACACTAATGGAGATGGAAACTTGTCTGATTCCTCATCTGATTCCTAATAAGGAGACTTCTGATCGATATCCATGGTGTTTTACATATATTATTGTGTAGTTAGTCCTCTATTCGTTTATTTTTTCAATAGGAAATAGAGAGTTTAATTAACTAAATTGTACAACATAGAGGACAAGATGTCCACTGGAAGAAAAATATCGATTTCTGAACTGATTTGAGGGGATATAGTAATGGTCTAATGGTTTCTGTTCCATGGCCATATCCTTGTCCATGTTCTTTTCAAGAATCCATCTATAGTGCAGGTATCCCTGCTGAGCTATTACATTTGAATCTCCTTTGTTCTGATTTGAATTCTTATTCAAATGTATGTTGAACCCTTAAAAGCAACATGAGTCAGCAAGTAGTAGGCTAGTGACAAGATCCCCAGATTAGTTGGGTGTGTCCTTTGGCTCATAAATCTCTTTGGATTCACACGGTAAATCTAATTTTGGTTCTATCTATGTTCAATTTATATCTTAATGGTCATACATGATTTCTATTCTGCTTGTAGGGTCCTTCCATTGAAGAGGGCTGCTGAAGAAAAGGCTCAAGCAGAGTGTGCTGCTGCAGCAGCTGGTTTTAAGTCCATGCTTAAAGAGAAAGGAGATATTACTGTTAGTTCTCGTTGGTCCAGGGTAGGTGCATTTTACATCAGCTTGTGGTTTATTTGATGTGTTGAAGAGTCTTCCAGACAATGTACTTCTGGATGCTTTTGGTATAAATTCTACCAGTGTGTCTTCTTTTTGGTCAATCATGAATGTGCATCCAGCAGTTTAAAAAAAAAAAATAATAATAAAGTAGAATTTTATCCTTAAGCAATAACTTCATTATTAATTTTGTTTGTGTTAGTTGTTTCAATTTATTCTCCCTTTCATTTTAAAATGTAAATGATACAGGTTAAGAAATTTTTTATTAAAAAAACTTTTGAATGTATGAGATACTTGGTGTGCTAGAAAATTTATATGAACTTATTTTATGTTGGGGACTTTATGTAGGTGAAAGATAGTCTGCGGAATGACCCAAGGTACAAAAATGTTAGGCATGAGGATAGGGAAGTTTTATTCAATCAGTATATATCAGGACTAAAAGCTGTGGAAGAGGAAGCAGAACGAGAGGCAAAAGCTAAACGTGACGAGCAGGTAAAAATTGTGCATCTGCATTTGTTAGGAACTCCCTCATCCTCTTCCTTCCTCTTTTCTTTCTGTCTGTATAAGTGAATGGGACCTATAAGGAAACGTTTATTAGAAGAAGGAAATAGGTAATGATAAATTTACTTGATGAGAAAGGCTCTCCGCCTTTCCCACCTACTCTTCAATTTTGTTCGAAAGAAAATATGTATGCATAACATATATCTGTCACTTCAGATGGTGTGTTGGTGGGGATTTTGAGAATTAGTTCTTCAAAACAGTTGACAAAAAACCTAAATGATCTGTAAAAAGAGAGAATAAAACTGTATTGCATCTAGGAGTGTGTACTTCAAAAAAGAAAGCTAAAGATTTTGTTTCCCTTGGCTTTCAGGAAAAACTGAGGGAAAGGGAACGAGAACTGCGGAAGCGGAAGGAAAGAGAAGAGCAAGAAACAGAGAGGGTGCGACTGAAAGTTCGCAGGAAGGAGGCAGTTGCTACTTTTCAAGCTTTACTTGTGGAAACAATTAAAGATCCTCAGGTATTATCTTTTGTTCACTTGGGTTTTAGCTTCATTAGCTTAAGCTACGCATCTGCTATGAATTTCTGCACATTTACTATGGTATGGTGTGGTGTATCGTGTGTTGATAGATTATTAAACCTTTTGGCTTATCATGTACTCAGGCATCTTGGACAGGCTCTAAGCCTAAATTGGAGAAGGATCCGCAAAGGCGTGCAGCCAACCCTGATTTAGATCCATCTGACATGGATAAGCTCTTCCGGGAACATGTAAAGATGCTAAACGAGGTAATATATAATCCAGTGCTTCAATCTATTTCAATTTTGTTTTCATTGTTAAAAAAAATCTTCTTGTTTATAACTTGTTCCAGTTAAAAAATGCTGCTTTTGTAATTTTTTACTTTATTGGTTTGGCTTTTCCAGCGATGTGCACATGAGTTCAGAACTCTGTTGGCCGAAGTCTTGACTGCAGAAGCAGCGTCCCAAGAGACAGAAGATGGAAAAACAGTTCTTAATTCGTGGTCAACAGCTAAACGTATTCTAAGGACGGATCCCAGATACGACAAGACGCCAAGAAAAGAGAGGGAAGTTTTGTGGAGACGATATTCTGAGGAGATGCTGCGGAAGCAAAAGTCAGCAGTTGGTCGTAAGGAAGATAGGAAAACAGATGCTAAAAGTAGAAGTTCTATCGATGCTGGGAGGAATCCCTATGGATCTAGGGGTACTCACGATCGGCGATGATGTTTTTGGTTAAAGCTTAGAGACTGGAACTTCAAGTTAATTTCCCCTAGTCCTCGTAATTTTGACTCGAGTAGGACGGGTGACGGCTCGAGCACCAAAACGACACTTCTGTATTATACGAATTATATCGAGGTGATTAAGCTGATGTTGCTAGGTTTCTTGGTCGAATAGTTGCTGTTGCCCATAAATTTATGTCCAATTTGCCTTCTCAGTTCTCACTAAACCGATCCTTCTCAGTTGCCTCCGAATCTTTTACGTTTCCCTCTTTTTGTAATATATATATATTTTCACTTAATACATATCCCCCTTGAATTTTGAGTCTTTCAACTTCTGAGAAGGGCAAAAAGAAATAAAACTAATGAAAATGATTTGAAAATTTTGAGTTTTAATGGTAAGGATAAAATAAAAGGTAAAGTGAATAGTATCATGATTGATTTTTTAGTATAAAAATGTGATTTTTCGTTAAAATAAACAGTATCCCAGAGCTTTTCGTTAAAGTTTCCAAAAAGAATGCTTTGGTAGGAAAAGTCACAAGTACTTATGAGTCGCAGAATCACTTGTCGAACAAGCGCATGGCAAATGCCTTGTTAGGATACGCTTGAATTTTTAGCAAAACGAGCGGAAGTTTCCTACAATCATTACCAAAGGTGTGATATTTTTGTTTTAATATTAAAGAACTATCAACTGCATATTCTGAAAAGAAGAAAGCTTGGCTTATGAAAAAATCAACAGCAACTCCTGCTGCTAATGAATCAAGGGTGGACACGTATTCAAATTGTGATTAAAAAATTAATTACTTGGACACATGTTTACCTGTTATTCGTTAAGCTGCCGTTGATTTTTCAGCAACCAAGCTCTGGTCGAAAATGAGAAAGCTTGGCTGCTGAAAAGGTATCCAACAAAGTTTTTGATTGATCACAATATCATATTAATGCTCAGCAAAAAGAAAAACATATCAACCAAGCTCTGTTCGAAAATGGGAAAGCTTGGCTGCTGAAAAGGGATCCAACAAAGTTTTTGATTGATCACAATATCATATTAATACCCAGCAAAAAGAAAAACATATCATATGATTAGTATAGTACTTTCCTTTCATTGAAAAATTATGAGATATTTTTCACTGAACTCAGAATATAGAGTGCGACACATGTTATTACATAATTGGAGAAAAATGTATATGCAGGGGTTATGATTATCTCCTCTACTCTTTCTATCTCCTCATTTCACATTCTTTATTTTGTCTTTCTCTTTCTATACAAAATTAATATAAGATGTTGACGTGTCTTAACCGTGATAATTCAAATAGGAGGGGTGGGAAAAAAAAGAAGAAGAGAGAATTCTATGCGGTATATAGATCTCGAAATTTAAATTCATTTAAAAAAAATTCTAAAAAATTATCCAGATAAAAGAAAAATTACTGTTATTAGAAAAAAAAACTATAATGATTGATTTAGGGTAATACAATACAAAATTTACAAAATCCGATGACAGGTGCTAAAGTAGTGGATGAAGCTGGAGCGCCAGTTTCAAAAATTAGGGCTTCCAGTCTCTCTCTCTTCTGATCCTTCTAATCTTCTCCCGCAGTTTGCGATTGCTGATTAGGGTTCGCTGGAGGAGATTGTGCAATCGCACAGTTGTGTTGAGTGTTTCCCCTTTCAGAGGCTCAAGGTTCGCGGCCCCTGTCGGGGACTCAGGTAAGGTAGATTTCGTTCCGACGATTTGGAATTTGAAAATTGAAATTTGGAAGTACTGATATTATAACATTTCACTTTGTATAACGCTCCGAAAATCCATGGATGCCTTTATTTTTGTGTTCTGCTTGTTTCGTGTCGATTAATTGATTGAAGAGGAGTTTCTGCAACAAGGGTTTTATCATAATTCTTTAGGGATTTGATTGAGCAGTGTTATATTCCGCAATGGATTCTATGCATTTTTCTCCTTGGTTTGCTTTGCTGCGTTCAATCTTTTGCACAAGGATATGTCTTTTGTGTTTACAATGTGTATCTTTGAAAATTTCGATACAACTAGTTAGCCTGTTTTACTGAAAAGTAATCTGTTTTGTGAAGGATTGGAGTTGGGTTTCCGCTTAATCGAATTTCATGATAGTGGAGCTATATGGCAACCTATACAGGAAAAGGAGCCCCCTCAAATGGGTCTGTTTATGTTTGCAATCTGCCTGAGGGAACTGATGAAAATATGTTGGCTGAACATTTTGGCACCATTGGGTTGTTAAAGGTAGTGATTTTTACCGTTTATTCTTTAACCGACCTTCTGTATAAATGTCTTTGTATATCTGGAAAACTCATCAGCTTCTCCTGTGTTTCTCTTTTTAATCTTGCTTTCTACCATTTAGAAAGACAAGCGAACAGGTCGACCGAAAATTTGGCTATACCGAGACAAATTGACCAACGAGCCTAAGGGAGATGCTACTGTAACGTATGAAGATCCACATGCTGCATCAGCTGCCGTTGAATGGTTTAACAACAAGGAATTCCATGGTAATACCATTGGGGTTTTTATAGCCGAGTCCAAAAGCAAAGATGATCAGACTCATAACTCTGTGGTTGATCCAAGTTTTGGCGGTGATCTTGATGGACCAGAGGAAGCTGCTCAGGATACGAATGGGGGTGGTGGTGGTCGAGGTCGAGGTGATTCTACTGGGAAAGCATGGCAACAAGAAGGAGACTGGACGTGTCCAAATACAAGGTCTGTGATGTGACATTGGTGAGCAGCTCTTTCTTGCACTTTTGTTGGCATTTTCATTCTTAAATGTAAAGTTTATTCAGTAATAGCTTCTCATACTCTTTTTCTAACAGCTGTGCCAATGTGAATTTTGCATTTCGTGGTGTGTGCAATCGCTGTGGAAGTGCTCGACCAACTGGAGCTTCTGGTGGCGCAGGGAGTGGTGGTCGTGGTAGGGGTCGTGGCGTTGATGCTGGGGGCCGTGGTGGTCCTGTTGGTGCTCCTACAGGTGGACTCTTTGGTCCAAATGACTGGCCGTGTCCAATGTAAGACTGTTTTATTCGTCCTCCCCTCCCCCGTTTTAAGCCACTTCTTTCTTTATTATTATTGTTGTTGTTGTCGTCGTTGTTTTTAAGTTTCAGTCCCAAGTTTTGTCACGTATTTTTATATTCTGTTAATGACGTGGAATTAGTAGAAACATGATTTCTTGGTTTTTTTAAAGGACCTTTTATTCCATTCTCTTGTGGTTTTGATTTTCTTCACATTCTTACAAATCTATTATCATATTGCGAGGTTGTGGAAGTTAGGTAGTATCTTGCATCAACCTTGGTTAATATGTTGCCTACTTGCTAGGACAGAGAGATTTTATGCGTTAACTATTTTATGTAGCATTATAAGTTGGCCAAGTTCGATGGGTATATTTGCACTAGCCTACTAATTGATGGTATTTGGATATAAATATTCATTCCGTAAGCAAACTCTATTTTGTTTGGGTTTAGCAGTATCATAGAAATGTCATTTAAATGCGTGTATTATTGTTCACACTGCCTTGATTCTTCTTTTGTTTCAGGTGTGCCAACATCAATTGGGCAAAGCGTACAAAATGCAATATATGCAACACAAATAAACCAGGTCACAATGAAGGGGGTGTAAGGTATTGCATTACTATTACTTTAACCTATGCTTCTGTCAGTTGCCAATCAATTGCTGGTATCCATTGTGCGGGAAGATGGTGTAATACTGATAGTACGTAAATATAAATATGTACAGTCTTGGTCTTGTCATTGATTCTTATCTATTTATGTCCATACCTAAATGTGTTGAACCATCCTGTTTCCCCTCCCCCCACAACCCAAAGGGGGGAAAAATCAATTTTGAATAAAAGCCATACGCTATTGTATTTTGTGTAAGAAAATTTGATCATACTTTCTTCTCCTTCTAAAAAAGTTAATTGGTCTGTTTCACACACTAAAGGGATCCACTTTCTTTACTCTGCCCCTTTTTTTTTCTTAAACTCTCGTATTTCTATCTAGCTGAAGAATTAGATGCACACCGGTGGTGGTTAATGAAGAAAGCAGTATGCTGGTTTTTCCTCTTTTCTTAGGTTATCTCTAGATTCTCTACTTTTATTAGAAATATTTTTCAGTCTCTATTGAAACATTCTCGTGAGTTTTATAGAGATATACTGATTTTTCTTTAAATCTATTTGACAGGGGGGGACGTGGTGGTGGTTACAAGGAACTTGATGAAGAAGAATTAGAGGAAATCAAGCGACGTCGGCGGGAGGCAGAAGAAGTAAGATTTATATGCATAAGCATTATTTGAACATACATATCTTTTGTTCTGGTTTAGAATTGATTTTGTACCATTCTCAGGATGATGGAGAGATGTATGATGAGTTTGGCAACCTCAAGAAAAAATTTCGCGCTAAAACACAGCTAGAAGAAACTGGACGAGCTCTTCCAGGTGCAGGACGTGCTGGATGGGAAGTGGAGGAAATAGGTACGGATGCATTTTGTGGCATGATTATTCTTAATTAGGAGGTTTGAGTTTTAGATTTTAAATCCTTAACTCTAGAGGTATGTACATAAGATGTTAGTTATTATCGCATTCTTCAACATGATTGTCCTTTTTCCTTTTTCCTCTTGATTCTACTTGGAATGTTTGGACATTTTTATTTACCATAGCACTTGAACGAAGCTGGTTTTAGGAGTTGTTGCTGCTTTCTTAGTCAAGCAAGATCCGCGTTTGGATTAGTGATTGACTTAGTTTGAAAAATGATATGGCAGGTGGCAGAGAGAGAAATAGAGAGAGGGGAAGGGAACACGATGATAGACCGAGCAGCAAGAACAGAGACAGAGATGATGGTTATAGGCGTCGAAGTCGAAGTAGAGAAAGGGAAAGGGATAGGGGGAGAGATAGACCTCGAGACCATGATTATGATCGAGAAAAAGAATACGGGAGGGAGAGGGAGAGGGATCGAGACCGGGACCGGCACAGGCACCGTTATTGAACGTTATGGGACAGTTTCCCAGTTTTGGTCCTCCGTGGAGGTGCATTTGTGTTGAACTTTGTTTTACTTTGCATTTGAAGCTAGTCGAGTGCGGAATACGGGTCTGCTCTCCGCGATCTGCTCTCCATTCATGTGTAATTTGGTTTCCATGAGTTTATTTGCACTATCAGAATTTTGCTTTCAACATTTCTTTTTAAGTTATGAATATTATCAATTGTCTAATGGGAATGGGTTATTTTTCGTCATTGGATGGTTGGTTTATCTGTCTTTTAATCCCAATTTTTCATGTATACTAGACCTGTAAACGGGTCGGGTATATTGGGTTTGAGTCGGGTTGAACCTG